CTACCCTCCCAATGGAAACTGCCCATTCCTCCATTCCTCCAGTGTCCCCACTGGGATGTCTTCTGGAGAATTTTAAAACCCTACTCATGGAGCCTGAGTTAAGGGCCTCTACGCTCATATGCCTCTGTAATAAAACTTGGCCTACATATTCCTTAGATAATGGTTCAAATTGGCTGATTAACAGCACATTAAATCCCAATATTTTGTGGAATCTTTTTAATTACTGTCAATGATCTGGTAAATGGAAGAAGGCATCCTATGTTCAAACTTTCTTTTTTCTCTGCTCTAAACCCCCTCTCTGTTTTTCCTGTTTTCCTACCCAACTTCTTCTAGCTATAAAATCTCAACCTCAAGAGTTCTCTACCTTTGACCCCGCAGATGAACTTCCACCTCACCATTCTCAACCTCTGGCTTCTTCCTCCTCCTCTGCTTCCCCCTCTTCCTCTTTGGCTTCTCCAGCATCTTCATCCCCCTCCCCAGAAACAGGCTGTCCTAGTTGTCTTACTTTGGCACCAACAGCTGTTAGGCCCTCTGCTACCTGCTCTCACTCTATATCGAAGCCCCCTTCTTCTTCTACTCAGCATAAACCAGCCTCAATTCTTCCCTTGCAGGTGACCAGTGTGGATGGCTTAGTTAGGGTGCATGTTCCCTTGTCATTAACTGAACTCTCAAATAGGAAAGAGACTAGGATCCTATACCTGTAATCCTTCTACTTCCATTAAAGAATTTCAATATCTCACTCAATCTTATATATGCTTATATAAGCTTATATACGATATATATGTGTATATATATGTGTGTGTGTGTATATATATATATATATGATTATATATATGTAATCATATATATATATGATTCTTACCAATAACCTATTACCTGAGGAGTGCAGGTGAGTTTGGGAACAGGCTAGAATACATGCAGATAAAGTTCACCAAACAAATGCAGCACACCTGGTTAGGGCTGAGGCGGTGTCCGACCAGGATCCACAATGGGATTATAATACCCTGGAAGGCATTTTAGCTAGAGACATTTCATGACCTGCCTCCTGGCTGGTCTCTGCAAGGCTGTCCTTAAGCCAGTTAATTATGAGAAGCTCTAGGAGGTCATTGAGGACAAGAATGAAAAAGTGTCTCAATCCCTAGAGCACCTTACAAAGGCCTCTTACAACATACTAATCTAGACTCCAAAAGTACAGAGGGTAGGCAACTTCTGATGACCTGTTTTTTTCTCCCAGGGTTACCCCAACATCAGAGCTAAGCTTAAATGCTTAGAGAGAGGACCTCTGACTCCACAGGCAGAAGTCTTAGTGCTGGCCTTTAAGGTGTTCCATGGGAGAGATGAGAAAGCCCGCAGACAAAAATACCAAATGCTGACCAAGGCTATCCGACTAGCCTCAGCCACTACTGAGGCTCCCTTGCCTCCTAAGGCACAAGGACCATGGGGTCCCTGTTTCAAATGTGGTCAAGAAGGTCATTGGGCCCGGTTTTGTCTTAACCCCTGCAAGGCACCGGGACCCATGTCCAAAATGCCACCAAGAGGGACATTGGGGTGTTGACTGCAACCGTTTCTCCCATGATACAGTGATCACTCCCAGATTACCCTCTGGCTGATATCCTAGGCCTGGCTATGGATGACTGAAGGTGCCCAGGTTCTCTTGACCCGATGTTGTAGGTGGTTATTAATTTTTACTATTGGTTTATCTTCTTGTAAAGCTTGCTGCTAATCTTAAACACCTGTATAACCAAATCACCACACAGAGACTTGGTTTTTAGTTAACCTAGAACACAATGCTGGGCAATATTTACTCCCTCTTAAACCTCCAAGCCCTCAGATTCCTCCCACTCCTTTCCTGCTCTCTAGCTCCTCCCCTCTTTCCTGTCCTCTGGCTCCTCCCATTGCACAACATTGTATCTAGTTGCTTTATTTTGTCCTGTTTACACAAGAGTTGAGACAGGATGCTTATAATGACTATCACAATGCAATATCCGGATTGAAACCAGAGAGTTGGGGGTGGGGAAATCAGCATTTCAATTAACAAGGGTAAGGTGTATACATTTTAAAAGAACATTATACCAATAACCCGACTCCTACCATCACTAGCAGGGAGCCACAGGTACTTATCATGGTATCTAGGCAGCCCATCTCCTTCCTTGTGGACTCCAGAGCTACTTACTCAGTCCTGACAGAGTATTGGGGACCAACCTCTTCTTATAGTTCCTCTATTGTTGGGGTAGGGGGATAGCCTTGCCAGCCTTGCTGTACTCTGCCACTTAATTGAATTTTCAGGGGTAATCCCTTGACTCATTCCTTTTTAGTGATGCCAACCTGCCCAGTTCCCTTACTGGGAAGGGACTTTTTAGCCAAAGTGGGAGCCTCTATCTCCTTTACTCCACCCATTCATCTGACCACAAGCTCACCAGCATACTCTCTCCCCCTTCTCCTAGCTACCCTACCTACCAGTTGTGACACATCGGTTTCTTCACCAGCCTCTCAAGTGGACCCCCAATGTCCAAAACCCCTCTGTCGATAGGCACCATTCCCCTGTGGTCATTCAGCTACAGGATCCCACCTGTTATAAAACCAATCCTGGGGATGGGAGAGGTAGAGAAGGTAATTAAACACTCCTCTAAGGTCATTGCCTCTCTGACATCCCTCCTAAATAATACAAACCTGTCATTTCGTCTCCTACTTTAGACTCTGACCTTGGCCTACAAGCTCCTTAATGTGACGCAGCTGGGCTGCTTTAAAGCTTGCTGGCTGTGTGTCCCACCTGGGACCGACTCAGAACTACTGCTGACAGCTTCTCCAGTGACTATGTCAAGTAACCGTATTTCACCATTCACTAACTTCCCTGACTCTGGTGTTGCCACAACCCCCTACCTTTTTCATATCACCCTCTTTGGTATGGCAAGCTGTTTCAAGGCATCTGGGACACACTCTGTAGGAATGCTAAATTCCTTAGATTGTAATAAACTATAATCCTTGATACCTCATCTGAACCCCAATGTCCTACTGCTAATAAAACCTCGATTCTTTGTGGTACTCAGGTCTACCATCGTCTGCCTGCTGGTTGGTCGGGAGTTTGCACACTGGTGCTCCTCTTCCCCGAGCTGGGGGTGATAAATGAAAAGGAGCCCCTACCAATCCCGGTTGTGGATTCAATAGCTGCCCAGCAGGGCAATTCAAATTCTGCCCCTCTTGGCTGTTGCAAGAATCACAGCAGCTGTTGGGACCGGGACAGCAGGACTAGCTACCTCACTAACTTTGTAGTATCAGCTTTCTTTCCAGTTCATCCAGGACCTCCAGCAGGACCTCAGACAATACTAACTTTCCAATGGCAAATTGACTCGTTGGCAGCAGTCAGCTGGATTAGATCTCCTCACAGCTAAAGAAGGTGGCCTTTGCATCTTCCTCCAGGAGAAATGCTGTTTTTATGTCCACAAGTTGGGTATAGTAAAAGACAAAATCCTAGAACTCCAGACAAATCTACAAAAGTGAAGGGAACAGGTCCAGACCTCTAGCTCTTGGGCCTTTGAGAACCCCATATGGAAATGGATTCTGCCCTTCCTCACACCTCTTCTGTTTGTCTTTATGCTTTTGCTTTTTGCGCTCTGCTTTATTAAGTTCCTCCAACAACAAATGCAAAAATTCTCTAACCAAACCATTAATCAGTTACTCTTATAGGACCTTTCACGTCTTGCATGTCTGAGCCCAACAAAACATTTTCTTAGATTGCTCCGCATGTGCAGGGCATCCTAACACTCACCCTCTTCTCAAAACAAAGCCTCTCAAATGAATTTACAAATTTCTACCATTGAGCCTGGAGTGGGACAGGCCAATTCTTAAAGCTGCTTTCAGGACATCTTTCTTATTTTCCCAGTGAAAAGAACTTGGCTTCCTTAATGGGGTGAATCTCTTCACCAACCACACCATTTAAAGTATGGCCCGACATTAAATGTTCCCCTTTATTTGGCAAGTTTTTAAAACCTTTATACCAGTTTTTGTTCCTAATTTTAATAGTAAACCTACTTGAAAGCAGCCAGCAAATACCTCTGCCATTGCCTAGATACATACTGCCATGAAATTTCCTCTACCGGATTCATCAATTTATTATCTTTGAACTTGGCATCACAGAGTCACAGAACTAATCACAGATTAAAATATAGACTAAAATATAAAAATGTAGACTAAAATATAAAATGTAGGTTAAAATATAAAAAGTCATAGGTTAAGTATACACAGCACTGTATTTGTTTTCTGGAATGTGACAGGCATGGAATCTAGTCTGGTTCCTAGTGCTCTTTTTCCATCAGGGGCCTTGTGAGCACAGCCGTACTCTGCACTCCTTTCAGCACGCTAGTTTTTGGTACCCTTGCTAGAACCATTTGCAAAGCTCTGCTTACAGAAAGACGAGCCCTTCCCACCACCCTCAGCAAAGCCATTGCAAACAAGCGCCCTGCTTCTTACTGCTGTCGGCTCTAGTAAGCTTCCTGGACTGTGACAACAGACCTGACAGCAATCACTAAAAAACAAAAGATTTATTGTGGTTCATAGTTTCAGAGGCCTCCTGGTCTCTAGGCTCTGTTTTTTGTCATCTGGAGGTGACAGCAGACAATATGACAGAAGAGCATGCTGGCGCAAGGCTGCCAGCCCGATAGTATTCTGGAAGTACAGGATAAAGAAAGATGGGAGGGGGGCTGCAGTAGCTCCTCCAAAGGCATGCCTGCAACCTCCACTTCCTCCAGATAAGCCCCACCTTCTCAAGGTTGCATTGCCTCTCAGTAGTACCACTAGGTGAGTACCAAGCCTTCAACAGATAGACCTTTGTTGGGGGGGGTGGTGCATTTAAGTGTCAAATCGTAGCACCTTCTTGGCTGCAGCTAGTAGGAGAGGTGTGATACGCAGAGCTCAGCAAGGCTGAGTTAAACATTAATGTAGCTGTCACCACAGCCCAGAGACACAAGCGCCCCAAAGCCAGGATTCAGACCTGCCTGGTGTTCCTAGACTAAGGAGTGACAAGCAGACATGGCTCAGTTTGCACAGGTCATGGCTGAAGTGGGCGACTTTGGTCGCTTCCAGATACAGTTGACTATCCTGATGGCCATCCCCAATTTCCTGTCTGCGTTCTTCGTGTTTGGTCAGGTCTTCATGGTCCTTGATGAAGCCCACCACTGTTCAGTGTCCTGGGTCAAGAACCACACTCTCAACCTGAGTGCAGCTGAGCAGCTGGCCGTTAGCATACCCAATGACACATCAGGCAGGCCCGAGTCCTGCCTCATGTTCCGGCCACCTCCTGATGGTGCCAGCCTGGAAGACATCCTCAGCCACCGCTTCAATGAGACACAGGCCTGCGACTCAGGCTGGGAGTACCCTGAGAACAGGCCTCTGTCCCTAAAGAATGAGGTAAGATAGTCTGCTGTCTATGTGCCCACTTGTGTGGTTCTGCCAGTGTCTGACCTCGTGCCTTTGATCACCTTCTGTAGCTCTGTCTCTGTCTTTATGCTTGTTCATAGCTATCTGTTGCCTGTTTCCCCATTTCCTGGTCATCCTGTGTTTCTTTCTGTCCTCTGTTTGTTGGCCTATCTCTCATTCTCTCATTTTCTCTGCTTTGCTTTGTCCATCAATGTTTCTTTATTTTGTCTGTCCTTTTGTGGATATTCTGGTACTAAGATACCCATGAACTCTTGACAGAAAAGAGGAAATCTTTTACAGAGAAGAAAAAAAAGGGGAGAGGGGAGCCTGGCTCAGGCAATAGATGGTATGTCTGGGAGCTGAATCCAACTCTGGCATATTAAAATGGGGCCTGGACCACAGAGGCCAGATGGGAAGTATTCTGTGATTCATAACCTCTTTCTGTTGTTGTGTATTTGTTTAATTCCCTTGAAAATAAGGAATGAATAAAAATTAGCAAGAGTTTGGGAGCTGGCTCAGTGGCTGCACGGCTGTAAGTTAAACTGCTCTAGAGACTTCCAAGCCTCTTGATCACAGAAGTGCCTACTGGTCTCCTCCTGTCTAGCGTCTTCTCCTTCCATGTCCTTTGCTTTGTCTTCCTCCATGCCCAATGTAGCTTCCTACTTCTCAGCTTCTTTTTAGGTCTTTTTCTCCCTGCATCTGGGATTCTGGAGGATACTTCAGACCCTGTGACTGTTGTGTGGATAACCAAACATTTGCTTCTATTAGCTCAGTCTCTTAAAAATGCAAGCAGATAAATCAGTTTCTCTTCCAGCTGCCTCCAAGTCCCAGGGGCCTCCAAGAGCATCTTGTGCCAGCTGCTGCCCTTTCCAAGAGGGAAGGAGTGAGGCACACAAGAGTTGGAGGTGCCTTAGCTTAGGCCATCTAGGAAGCTGGTCATGGAACCGGGACTGCTATGCTGGGCCCCTCTGTCCGCTCTGCCTTTCTTGTCAGCAGAGGAGCACGTATGGAGGGTCTAGAGACCTGAGGGAGTGGGTCCTTGAGGCACTCGCTTAACTTCTCTGCTTGCAGGTCTTGATCCCACAGATTAAACATTCACTCCCTTCACCATTTGAAAAAAAAAAAAAAGTTCATTTTTAGAAGCCTTTGCAGACAATGTTTTAACCAAAGTGAAACATTCATGTTTTGGGTGGGACTGTAATCCTTCCAGGTCTGAAGATGTGTCCTTCCTGCCTGGGATTCTCCTCACTTGGTCATCCTGCCCCTCACCCAGGGGAGCTAGGTGGCTCAGGGATACTCCTAATCACGGAATCTTCCTCCTGTGTTTAAAATTATTTTTGTTGATACTTCAATAATTGTGCTATCATTCTGAATTGAAATGCAAATATTTGACATGCAACCCCTGTGAAAATATCATTTGACTCCTAAAGGGGCTGAGGCCCACAGGTTGAGAACCCTGTTCTAGGCCTCTCCATGACTCCCTGGCATCACCTAGTGCTGGGTTCTGGCCTTGTCCTTCCCTCAAAAGTTTGTAATTGTACAGAAGTACTCTGTTCCGTTAGCCAAACAGCAGCATCTGTAAGGCCAGTGGACCTTCCTGGTTGCTCTGACATGACTGTAAGCTTGGCCCACAGGGTGTGCTGGGCTATTACATAATTTCATCCAGCCCAAATGGCGGGGGAGCAGTCAAAGGAGAGGGGTACCCTGTTCTTCATCTTCCAGGATCCCAAGGGTCAGGAAACATGTGGGTCCCTCATAAAGAAATATAGAGTCAATGGACTCGAGCCATTTGCTTCCACCTTCTTGAAGAAAGGAATTGAGGCTCATGGTGCCAGAATATTCCCCCAAATGTTCCCCCAAATGCTGACAGAGAATACGAAGTCCTTTACAGACAAACACAGAAGAAAGCCTGACCAAGGGCAGCAGGCGTGTGTCTGGGAGCCTCAGAGAAGGGAGGGTCAAGGGCTTAGAGTCAGGATGGTATGTTTGCAAAGAGTTGGCACCTCTTTTTGTATGTCCATTAACATTCTTGATAATAATGTGCGAATTTAAAACTTACAAGAGAGAAATCCTGGGTTTAACACCAGCCAATCATTAAAAATTGGAATTTGGGGAACGAGGGAAAGATTATCTGAATCTTTTTAGAAGCTGGAAACCGCAACAATCTCAGTAAGAGGTTTCATACAACTCCTGCCGTGATTTCCATGATACTAGAAAGCCCCATAGAGGTGCCTGGCGCTTCTCCATGTGCTAAACAGACATCTGGGGTCCCCCTGGCTGGTCCCTTCCTTCCCACTCACCAGCCAGGGGCTGGCTCCTTCAGGGGCAGGCCTGCATACCCATTGCCCCCACAGACAAGAGTCTCCCAGAGACCCCTCACCCAGCACCGTTCCTCAGTTTCCTCCAAAGCTTGGGGGATCTTCAGCTGGGTCCTGGAAGGACTACATCCTCACTGTCAGGTTCCAACTCCACGTTAAACTGAGAGGGAACCATGGCTGAAATTATGAGCTCAGCCAGTTTGGTATGTTTTTGTTTTTAAGTTATTATTATTTTATATGTATGGGTGTGTTGCCTGCTCACGTGCCTGGTGCCTGTAGAGGCCAGAAGAGGTTGTCAGTGTCTCCAGAGCTGGAGTTACAGGTAGTTTTGAACTGCCATGTAGGTGCTGGGTGTGCATGTGAATGTGTGTGTGTGTGTGTGTGTGTGTGTGTGTGTGTGTGTGTGTGTGTTGGGGGTGGTTGAAGCATATGTGTGGTCAGATAACAGCTTGAAGGGACCAGGTCTGTTCTTCTACCATGTGAGTCTTGAGGGCTGAACGCAGGTCTTCAAGTCTGGTGGCAAGAGTCTTTACTCCTGAGCTGTCTTGTCATCCCACATTTGGTGTTTGAAAAAGTTCAATCCTTTTCTTCGTTTATCAGTGAAAGAAGTTAGAAATTAACTTCATTTTCCAAAATCTAGGAGCCAGCAGATTTCCTTGAAAGGTAGCCACACGGAACCTCTCGGGAACAGGAGGAGCGAGATGGGGGTCAATACTTTAATGAGTCCATCAAACACTGCTCTGCTCATGGGTGGGCTGGAAGGCACAGTCTAAATGGCATGTGTTATTAAATGACAGCGCCCACCGGGTGTTCTTCTTTCCCCCTGAAATTTCCCTGCTCGCTTAGGATAGATGCACGCACTGGGCCCTTTCATGGGCCTCGGAACGTCTCTGTGTTCGCAGCAGCCAGCTCTGGAGGCATCTCTGACATGATGGCCTTCTGTGTCTTCTTGACATGCTTCTCCACCAGAGGTCAGTCTGGGTCCTCGAAACCAAGAAAACAAAACAATTGGACACTGGCACACCCCCGTTTTTGTGTGTGTGTGTGTGTGTTTTTTTTTTTTTTTACACTTTTGAATGAGCACAGTGATATCATAGAAATAATCCTGTCTTTAGGTACTTAGCAACCACAATTCCTCATCACCCTCTTGTTCTATAGTATCAAAAAGTACAAGATTTCCCAGGCATCATGGCACAAGCCTTTAATCCCAAGCGTTTGAGTGGTAGTGGCAGGCAGAACTCTGTGAGTTCAAGGCCAGCATGGTCTACAAAGTGAGTTCCAGTACAGCCAGGGCTACACAGAGAAACTCTGTCTCAACCCCCACCCCACACACACACCAAAAAAAAAAAAAAAAAAAAAAAGCAAGATTTTATGACTCTTCAGCAATGCTTGGTTGCAAAGATGTCAGAAAGCAGTCACCAGAGGGCCAGCAAGATGGCTGAGCAGGAAAGGTGCTGCTGGCAAGCCTGATGACTTGAGTTCAATTCCTGGAACCCACTTGATAGACAGAACCAATTCCAGAAGTCCTCTGGCCTCCATAAACACGCTATGGCACACGCAAGCAAACGTGCACACACGAACAGGCACACACATACAATAAAGAAATGCGAAGAAGACAATAAACAAGATGCCCTCACGTGGACACTTGTCTCTTGTACGGATGTCAGAAGGTGGTTCCAGTGCTTGAAACAACTGCTTTGACAGTCTGTGTCCTGGTCCCCTGGAAATAGTGACACCATTATCGAGGGATAATAGGTCAGATCAGGCTGTGGACACGACTCTGAGGCATTTTCTGGATTGCTTATTTATGTGAGAGGGCCCAGCTCTCTTTGAGAAAAGCCATTTCTAGGCTGGTTGGCTCCAGCTGTCTGAGGAAGGTAGCCCGAGAGCAAGCAGAGTTGGTGCCGTGATAGGACTGTTACCATGCTGGACCTGAATGTGTTGTTTGGGGGATTGTGGAAGATGTTGGACCTTTGAGTAGAAAAGCAGCCAAGTGCTCAGAGCCGAGTGAGCTATGCTTGGGATCTCGGAAGATAAAAATGTTGAGAGAAATACAAATGGCGGATGTGTGGCCTGTGAGGTTTCAGAGGGAAGGGAAAACTATTAGGGTTGTGTCACATGTTGGATTAAGACTGTAGAAATGACCTTTGCTTTACTGGACAATGGATGCTGGTCAGCTGGGACTGAAAAATCAGCCATGACCAACAGAGACTAACTCTTTAGCACACAGAAGCTGTGGTCCAGGGTGGGTGGGGTGGAGTGGGCGCTGTGTGGCCTCAGCTCCACCTAGGAACTGAGCTTGACAGTTGGTAAGAGTCTCCCATGTGGTTCTGACTTTGAAGGCATGAGAGATGCAGGATTGAGGAGGTCATGAGGAGCAGCTCAAGCCCGAGACCATGTGGGAGTGCTGGAGTCCCTAAAGCGAGTTCAGGAGAGGCCCTTAGTGCAGCTCAGCCTCCTTACAGTGCGGACCCCAGGACTGAAGGGGCCCAGGACCAAAGCTGACACTTGGCCCCGTGAGGTACATTTGGAGCCCTGGCAGAAAGGCCAAGAGAAGACATTGGTGAGAGGGCCCTTTTTAAGGGTCTAGAGGCATGTGATGCCTAGCACAGTTGAGGCATGCCGGCATAAAAGGGTCTGGGAAATAGGAAAGAGCCAGCTCTTAAAGATCTTAGGTGAAGTGCCAAGGAGTTGAAGCTTTCTCCTAGAAACTCAAGAGGGCCATTGAAGGTTAGGGGGGAGGGGAGGGAGATGTGGCGGCCTGTGCTGTAGGCCGCTATGACGGGTCTAAGGCGGAACCACTCACTGTACCTGTTAAAAGCTGGGGAGGGTCGTGACTGGCATAGCAAGTTGGAACCCTCCGTCCCTTGCTGTCTGTCACATGGCACCTGAACCTGAGACTGAGCACCCCTTCCTGAAAGCCTCAGGTGCTGCTCCTGAACAGTGGGAAGCGTCCCCAGGACTGAGGCTGCCAGTTCCGAACCAACTAAGGGCAAATGGTGCTGTGGACCAGGGCTGCCAGACTTGGGAGGGTGTGAGGCTTGCCTTTCCTTCCTGTACAAAGCTCTGTATCCCTCCCCCAACAGCCTTGTAGCAACAGGCCGCTGCCCTGGCATGCTGTGTAGCAGCCACAGGTAGAGACATGTTCTAGATGATCTGATCATATCAGGTCATGGTGGGCTTGGCCTTATTCCCACTTCTGAGCGAATGGAGACCAAGACACAGGCAAATTGGCTAACGGACCTCCAGGGCAGACAAGGCTATTCCGCCCTGACTATGGGGCCTGGCAACAGCAGGCCCCCTGTTTACTTTCATTCATTTTAAGTGATATCTCACACTGAAGCCATCTCTAGTTGCTAGACAAAACCCAAGCTGGAGAGAATGGGAAGCCCAGCAGGTATGCTAGTTCGCCATCCCACACACCCCGCAAGTCCTTCAGAATGAGCTGTTGTCCTTGAGAAGCATGAATACAGCAACTCCTGTACTGGTTAATTTCTTGCTAAGTTGTTTAACCGATGGCCAACTTGCTAGAAGTAAGCTTCAGTCCATTTATTCATTAACCCAGTTCAGCGAACATTCTCTTCGCCTTCGCTTGGTTTAATTTCATGCTTATAGCAATAGACACGCCTCATCTCTGCCTACTGCCTTCTGAGTTTAAACCAAGTCTTTCCAACCTGCCGGAATGCTTTTGGTCAGTTTAGGATATTGCTAATGAAAAGGCAAAGGACAACTCATTTCAGTGTCTTCAGCGTCATGTGTGGCTTTTGTGATTGACAACTTGAGTAGCTTAAGAAACACCCAGCAGGCATGTCTCACTTTTGACATCGTAACACATTGTTGTCTACAGAGTTCACACTTGTGAATCTAATTACAGGGTGAAAATAGCCAGGCACGGTGGTGTACGCCTGCATCCCGGCCCCTCACGCGGATGCCCTGGCGGGCTCCACTCCGCTGGTGCAGATGTATGGCTGTGCTGCTGAAAGGGCCCCGCAGGGTGGGCTCCCACCTAAGCACTGATGCAAGGGACTGCTCCATACAGGACACAGAGCTCCCCCTCGGAGCCACAGCCTGGCAGGGTGGGGCCGGTGTATACACAGTCATCCTCCATGCAGGGACATGTGGGCCCGCACACTCCCACGCTTGGAATTCCGGTGTCAGCACTCTGAAGAATCCTGATAAAAGTGTGGGCATTTGAGGCTGACTGGAAAGCCGTATGCGAAAACTTGGGAAAGGCCAAGTAGCTTACACAGGAAATGGGCTCTGTTTGTCAGGAAGCAGCTATTAGAGTTTTGTCAGCTCTCAAATTTTACATCCTTACTGTATCCATAATTTTACATGGTTTTCTCTATGCCAGAAAAATACTCAACAGTTCTAGGTGTTAAGTAATTAAATCCAAATAGTTTAATGGTATTTTTGCCCTAGCAAGTAGCTGTTGTAGAAATTAATACACAGAGCTTGGCGTTGTGACACATGCCTACAATCCCAGCGCCCAGGAGGTAGAGGCAGGAGGACGAGGCGCTCCAGGTCATCTTGCTTACAATGTGGATACACAGCCTGCCCTACACGACACCCTGCCCCAGCCTAAACGAGAGGCCAATATACAGCGTACGGGCGAGCTTCTAACCCAGAGTCGCAGGGAAGAGGGCGCCGCAGCTGAGGAATTTCCCAGAGCAGATCAACCTGCGGCCCTACCTGTACTGGTGATTGGCGTGGGAGGGCCCAGCCCATGGTGGGTGGGCCGGCTCCTGGGCAGATGGTCTCAGACTGAGGAGGAGCCAGTGAGTACACTGGTAATCAGCCTCCCTCTGGCGGTCCTGCCTCTTCTTTTGCCTTGAGCTCCTCTTTGACTTCCCTCACTGATGGATGATGACCTGGATAGGTAAACCGAATAAACCCTTCTTGCTTTCAGTCATGGTTTTTATCACAGAAGCAGAAAAATAAGAGCAAACAGGAAGAGAAGGTGTTCCAGTAGACGGAAACATACTAACGGACTCTGCCACACAGCAGATGCACCGCTTCCTGGTCCTGCTGCACTGCTGCCCTCAGTTTTGGCTCCATGTAGAATTACACACGTTATTTGCTTTTTACAGAAGCAACTGTCAAACAAGATACTGTGTAAATCTAACATCATTGGAGAGAAAATAGTGTACCCTGTGTTAATTGTGAATTCTTAGGCAAGTTGTGCTATCTGACAGAATCCAGAGATTCCCTGTCTAGTTAAGATAGCTAGATCTTAACTAGCACATGCGGTTGGGGGTTGTTCTAGTGCTGGCCCTCAAAATCTGGTTACACCTACCCTTGTCCTGTGACCCTGCCTAAGACATACCTGTTTGGATGATTAAACAGCCTGTACCTGGGTAGGGCAGGATGGGATAGGCATGGCTAAGTTTCCCGGGGCTCAGGGGAAAGGAGAATTCCAGGGCACAGGCAGAGGACAGGAAGAGAGGAGGAGGGAGGATACCATGATGGGTTAGTGTGGAGAAAAACCACATTGGCGTTAAAAGAGCCCAGATGAAGAATACAAGCAAGAACCATGAGATTAGGGATGAAAGTTCAGGTGAGGAAGGTTAAGGTAAAGGCACTGGATGGGGGCTGGGAGATGGATGGTGAGGGCACTGAGACAGTGTAAGTGAAATATCTGCCCGGCCCAAGGCAAACAAGGTAATTACAACTAACAGGTGTCTGGGTCCTGTTATTTGTGATAGGGGGTTAAAGAATCCCACCGTGACAGTCTTAGGGCTGATAATACACATCATATAACCCAACACTCATTTTTTATTTATGACGACGTGGCACCTACGGTGCTGCTGTGAGCTGCCTTGGCACACGGTGTGTGAGGCATGGGTGCCTGGATGGTAAAGTTGCCGGGGATGCTGCACCGGGTCTTAGATGAATATGTTCTGCCGCAGTTTGACCTGGTGTGTGACAGGAAGAGCCTGAAGAGAACCTCCCAGTCGGTGTTCATGGCTGGACTCCTCGTTGGGGCCCTCGTCTTTGGGCCCATCTGTGACTGGTATGTGCTGCTGACCTACCATCATTTCAGGCAGTTAGTGCTGACTCAGTTATCCCCCTGGAGCCTTCCCAGGGGGCTTCAAGATAAGTCCTCATGCCTCCCTTCCAATGGGACTCCTAGGGGAGGCCTACCTCCTCACCCTGACAAACCGCCCAGGACAGGCTGGCCTGGGTCTCCCTTGATTCAGTCCTGGGAAGGCCCTTCTCCTCACAGACTTGTCTCCCTGTTATGTCAGGATTGGCCGCAGACTGTCCCTCCTGGTACAGCTGCTTCTGGTAGGTACCACAGGCCTGGCCACAGCCTTCGTGCCCAGCTTTGAGCTCTACCTGACCCTGCGCTTTGTCTTGGCGACTGCTGCCGCTGGGTATTTACTAAGCACCAATGCCCTGCGTGAGTATCTGGGCCCGGGAGCCTCTTTGCTCAGAGTCAGAGCCCTGAAACCGCTGGTGGGGATTGCACCTAAAAAGGCCTCAGCAAACTTTTCTGTGGTGAGACTGAGTCACGTCTCTGAGAGGCTGGCATTTTGGAAACACCAGAAGAGGAGCAAGGACATTTGGGCCCAGTCTCAGCCTTGGTTTTCACAGTTTCAGAGTGGGTGGGGCCATCCTGGAGAACACGAGCCATGGTGCTGGCCCAGAGCAGCTTTGCCCTTGGGCAGATGGTATTAGCAGGCCTGGCCTATGGCGTCCGCAACTGGAGACTCCTTCAGATAATCGGCACCACACCAATCTTCCTGCTCTTCTTCTACTTCTGGTGAGGAGACCCTTGCCAGTGACGGGGCCGCCCTAGTTGGGAGTGCTATGGCAGGGTGCTGGGCACAGAGGAGAGCCTGTGGGTGGGAGGCTGAGTGTGGCCTGGAATTCTGGGTGGCTGCACGGAGCTCAAGGCCCCAAGCATCACAGCCATGTGTGGCTGACAGGGTTCTGCCAGAATCTCCAAGGTGGCTCCTCTCCCAAGGAAGGACAGAGGAAGCCAAGCAACTGGTCCAGAAGGCAGCCTCTGTGAACAGGCGGCCACTTCCTCCAGAGCTCCTGAACCAGGTATCTGCAAGCAGGCTCAGGCCTACCCCGCCTCAGGCCAGTCTCCGTGCCTGTGTCCCTGCCACTCACTCTGCCCCTCACTCTAGCTGGTCCTCGAGAAGACAGGCCCCTCGGGGAACGCCTTGGATCTCTTCAGACACCCTCATCTCAGGAAGGTGACTCTGATTCTCATTGCTGTCTGGTAAGTCAGGGACTTGTCCCTCCGTGAGGACAGCCAGAGGGCCACTCACGTTCTGCCGTGTGTCACTGGAGGGGTCCACAGAGGCTGTGGCTGTGACGGTCTGCCCCCAGGTGGGCCTGTGTCTCCTGGGGGGAGCTCATTAAGTCAGGGTGCTCCTCAGCAGTGACTAGGATACTTGGGTACTTTCTAGGTTTGTGGACAGTCTGGTGTATTATGGCCTCAGCTTCCAAGTGGGGGACTTTGGCCTGGATATCTACCTGACACAGCTGATATTTGGAGCAGTGGAAGTGCCTGCCCGTCTTTCCAGCATCCTCTTGATGGAGAAGCTGGGTCGCAAGTGGAGCCAGTTGGGATCTCTGACGCTGGCGGGCGCCGTGTGCATCGTTGTCATCTTCATCCCAGGAGGTACCAGGGTGTTTCTCACCCTCTTCCTGTCTTCCGGGCTAGGCCCATTGCCCACACCCCCTTCAGGACTAAGGGCTTCCCCGGGGCATGGGGCAGAGGGTGAGGCTTTGAGTAGACAGGGAGGTGATGGCGTCCTTCCCTGTGTGTGGCCGGCTCCATTTCCTGCAGATCTTTCCGTGGTGGTCACCGTGCTGGCCGTGGTGGGGAAGTTTGCCTCATCTGCTGCCTTCACCACAACCTACGTGTACACTGCTGAGCTCTTCCCCACCATCATCAGGTAAAAGCCGCCTGGGCGACTTCTGGTCTCCGTCCTGGAGATCTCACACCACTCAATCCCTCTGTCTTCTGCCACCAGCCCCAGAGAGCCTGTGAGCTGCTACAGACCCTAAGCCCTTGGCAGTCTGCTGCCGCTCAGCAAGCTGGCACAGGATGTTGGGGGCCAGATGTGGACACAGGCATGCCCTGGCCTTGTCAGGGCCAGAATGTGGGACAAAAGTGAGAGTGAAGGCGTGGCCCAGGAGAGGAGCACTCAGAAGTGGGAAAGGAGTTTGGGTTCCTAGAGATGACAGGAGAGAGACTGGGAGGGCTTGCTGGTCCAGGAAGCAGGTACCCAGCCAGGCCGAAGATGGCAGAGCCCTGGGCCCTGCGTCTGTGGAGTGAGTGCAGCCTCCTCAGTGGCTAGAGGCTCAGTGTGTGCTGCTTTCCCCAGGCAAACAGGCATGGGCTTGGTGAGCACCTTCTCCAGGGTCGGTGGCATCATCTCGCCTCTGGTGATGCTGCTGGAGCAGTACCACAAGGCGGTCCCCATGCTCATCTTTGGCAGCCTCCCCATCGGGGCAGGCCTCCTATGTGCTCTGCTGCCTGAGACACGGGGCCAGACCCTGAAGGACACCCTCCAGGACCTGGAGCTGGGGCGCCATCCACGGTGAGCACGGACTTTCTGGGCCTCCCATCAGGGTCCCTCTCCCTAGGGCCACGCCTCCCCGTCAGCATTCCACCATCATTGCTTACTACATTACACCATCATGGCGCTCCTTTGGCATCACAGATCTGACTGGCTTTAGAGCACATTTCCCCCACTCTGAGCAGGGAGTGGTCATGTCCTGGGCTGTTCTGAGCACTATGTTTTGGGCAATCACTGACTGTCCTCTGTCCCCTGTAGGTCCCTCAAAACATCACCCCAGAGAAATGGAATGGAGGCCATGGAACAGATTTCCAGTATGAGGGTGGCTGTTGTGAGCAGCTCATACTTCTGACTGTGGTTGCTGAGATCCAGCCCATCAAAAACAGAGGACTGCCCACACCATTTTCTTGTTTGATCAGGATGCATAGCACACAGGATCAGTCCAGCCTTGGCCATGGCCCCAGCTCACCCCTGCAGAGCCTGACGGAAGCATCAGACACAGTCCCCTCCCTCTTCCACATCGCTCACACACAGACTGCACCCCAGCGGCATGACTGAGTTAGGGCTTGGGTCTTCCTTGGTCTTCTCTGACAGTCTCCATGGTTACGGCCTCACTGTTCCTCTCAGTCTGGAATACTGCACTTTCACAAAGACAAACCAACCCCCCCCCCCAAAAAAAAAAAAAAAAAAAAACAACAACAACTTCAGCTCAAACCCAGAGCAGGGCAGCAGGCAGACCAACTGTGGGAGTAGGCTAACAAAGAAAAAAATTTATTTCACGTTTACTTTGAAGATCCTTTTTTCCTGGCTAGTGGCCAGTTTGTGCCTTGCTTATGTGAGGCTGACTAGGGGAAGGGACTGATCAGCTCTTCCTCCACATCACTGTGCTCTGCTGTCCAAGTAGGCGAGGAAGAGAACAGAGCTCCTTTCACTTCGCTGCTGCTGCTTGCTATTTCCCAGCATGCCCCTGCTCAGTAGCAGTCTGCATTTGACAGCGGCCACACGGTGGCTCTGCTACCATGGCCCTTTCATGGGTTCATTTAGAGGTTCTCTGTGTTGTCTGCCAGTATGCGTACCTTCTCCCACCCTTGTTTACAGACTGCGAGTAGTTGGGGACAAGCTGGTGTGTGCATTTAAAAATGTACTATGGCTCATTTCATTAGGCTCTCATTAGTGACTGCCCACCAGCAGTTTAGAAGCTAAGACTTCTGGGAGCCCAGAGGAGATGCTACCCAGCTCAGGTCTCCTCTGTGTCTTGAGGATGAGATCACAATAGAAGAGAGAAATCTTGGGGATCATGGCAGCTGGCATATGGCATTCCACACCTGTCCTCTAGGGGATGCTGTTGAATAGAGACTAGCTGGTACACAGTACCCTGGTACTCAGTGCTGAGGTTCTCTTGGCTGGGGTTGGTTCAACATCTAGATCTCAAGCACTAGCATCAGGAGTCTTCCAAATCTGATCCCCAGCCTTCCTATTTTATAATGGGTGCTTTTGCCCAGCATGCAGGAGGCCATGAATTTGATTCACATTACTCTCACCGACCCACATACTTGCACAAAATGAGTGATTTCGTAGGTTACTTTATACCAAACCTCACACTCTGCTTAGGCATGCAAAAGTCTGGCAGTCTGCTGTCTTCAGGTGACTTCTGGGATTAAGATCACTGTACTATACATCTTGAATTCTTGGCTTTTCATGTCCATACCGTTCCTGTCCTTTGATCACTGTTTCTTCTTCCTCCTCCTCATCCTCTTCCTCCTCTTCTTCTTCTTTTGATTACTGTTTATTTACCTCGACATGGTCCTCAGGAGCCTGTGCCTTAGCTCATCCAGTTCCTCCCACAAGTGTAAACCTGTGTCCTGGGAACCGTTGCTCAACACCAGCAGACCCCGCATGTTCCCAGGACTCTGTCCCCTGCCTCTCATAGTGGTCCTTCTTGGCCATCCTGTCCTTTCACTTATCAAACTCTCTTGTGTGTGTGTACGCTTTCTTTTTCCCTGGTCTCACCTCTGTAACTCCAGATTATGTACCCCATCCTTTCACAACTTATCTAGGTGAATGGCGGCCACCCCTTCTATTCCAGTTGCTGACATCCTTTGGAGAAAACCCTTTTCTACCCAGATCTCAAAAGCATCTGGCATATAATGAATAGATGAGTGAATCTCATCCAGATGCCTCATTTTCTTACTGTAGCATCTATTCTAGATGCTTTTGTGTCTATTGCATGGCATGTGGATACTGTACCTGAATAAAGTAGAAGAGCGTATCAGATCCCCTGAGCTAGAGTTACAGATGTACGTAAGCTGCCCAAAGTAGGTGCTGGATGAGAATTGATGTTCTCTTCAAGAGCAGCAAGATCTCCTTGCTGGGTCTGTGCATAAGTATTGCCCCCCCCCTTGGAATATCTTGTTTTCTTCATCTATGGTGATTGAAAGCTTTGCTGGGTATAATAGTCTGGGCTGACATCTGTGGTCTCTTAGGGTCTGCATGACATCTGCCTAGGCCCTTCTGGCTTTCATAGTCTCTATTGAGAAGTCAAGTGTGATTCTGATAGGTCTACCTTTATATGTTACTTGGTCCTTCTCCCATGGACACCTGGGAGGCCTTGTGAAGAAGAAAGGTTCTATGTCTGATACCCCAAGAGGATTTCTGTCCCTTCCCCAGTAAGTGGAGACTTGAACCTACCATGAACTGAAGAATAGCTGTAAGAACGGTTCTTTGTGATGCTAGCTTTTATCTAATAGCAAATTCAGATTCTCATTCTCTCTCTCTGTGTGTGTGTCTGTTTGTATATATGTAGGTGCACATGTGTTCCTCTGCACATTTGTAGAAGCCAGAGGTCAGCCTTGGGTGTCATTTGGAGGCATGCACCTTCTCACTCTGTCTCTGTCCTGTCGGCAGAAGGTTATTATGTAATTCAGACACTGATTTCTGTACCACCTGTATCTGGTTGCAATCTTTGTTCTGAGAATCTCCTGTCTCAATGTTGTGTAAATACTGCTTCCTAATTGTCTCCTAATATGTCAATAAAACAGCTGACAGCCAATGTGCGAGCAGGGGAGAGAATAAGGCTGTACTTCCTGCTATCCAGGGGAGGAGGATTTAGAAGAGGAAGTAGGGAATTCAGCCAGGGGAGAGGTCCAGGAGACATCAGGAGAGGAGCTGGAGCAGGAAAGATACAAAGTGCAAGTATCTCTGGGATGTAGATGGGAGGAAGCCAAAGTACCTTAGAGGATTAAGAATAGAGTAATAAATGCTCAGTTATTATATTGTGAAGCTTATTATTAAACAAATAAAACAGAGTCTCAAGTATCTGTGTAATGGCCAGGTTAAGAGAGAAACTAAGAGGCAAACATAGTTTTATGAAAATTAACATTAACACTGTCATTTCTCTGTCTTCCTTTTGTCTCTCTCTCTCTCTCTGTGTGCGTGTGTGTGTGTGTGTGTGTGTGTGTATGTGTGTGTGTGTGTGTACATGCAGGAATCAGGGTCAACATTAGTTGTCTTTTCAACCACTTTCCACCTTGGTTTGAGACGTGGTCTCTTACTGCACCCGAAGCCCTTTGATTCAGATAGTTGGACTGACCAGTGAACCTCTGGGAGCTGTTTTCATTCTAACCTCCCTCCCACCCCTGTAGTGCTCGGAATGCAGGCATAGGGGCTGTGGTTTTTTATTTGAATTCAGGTCCTCAAGCTTATGTGACCAGCACCTTACCGACTGAGCCATCTCCCCAACTCCTCCATCTTGTTTTATGAGATAGGATCTGTCACTGGAACCCGAGATGTGCCAATAAAGCAGGCAGGCTGGCCAGCTGGCTTCAGGGGGTCCACCTGACTCTGCAAACACAAGCTACCCCTTCCAGCTTTTCACGTGGGTCCTCTATGCTTATGTGATGAGCTCTTAGCCTGCTGCGTTGTCTCCTAAGTCCTGCCTCCTAATTTTTCTCAACCAGTTTTGCCAGTGTCATGAGCAGTATCGTGTGTGCTGATGGAGAAATTGGGCAAGTGTGGGCCCAGCCTCCTTTGCTGTCATCCCTGCTTCTTGCTGGATATCTTTGAGCCATGTCGTTGGGCTAGAGTCAGGATCCCTCAGGTCCCCTGCTTCCCCACGATTGGTTCGGCCTGGCTTCTGGTCCTGTGTTGATTCCCCACCGCTACTCCAAGAAAAAAGACTGGGGACCCGTTTCCACTAGTGGAAGAGGGCTCTGAATGTGAGGGAGGTGGGTCAGACAAAGGCAGTTCAAGCTGGCAGATGGGGAGGTATCCCGGAGGCAGAGAGGTATAGCACAGATCCCAGACGTAGGGTCGGGAAGACTAGTAGGACAGCTGACAGAGTGTGGCTTTATTTGCTGTCAGTATAGAAGGCAGTTTGTGCAAAGGCATAAGGCAGTTTGCCTCATTGTGGCACTTCGCCTATGTGCCTTAACTGTTGTAGAGAATAAACGATATTGGCCTAATAATGCTTATTATTATCATCCCTATGATTATTCTGGTGATATTATTTAACCTGTTCTTACAACCAATAAAAGACACAGATAACTGTTAGATTTTAGATTTGCCTTATTTCAGCTTGGGCTGGGAAGACAATCCATCTATGCCATCTCCTTATCTCTTAGCCTCCCTCCCATGCCTTCTGCTTTAACCATTTCTATCTGGACTACTTTCCATCCACAATTCCAAAATATTTGCTTGCATTCTTCATCTGGGCCATTCCTTTCCACGTTTCTCAGAGTCTTTCCTCCCTGCACATGTGATTCTTTTTTTTAATTCCCATGACAGTATGTTTTCTCCTCACTCCTCCACCTTCTCCTCCTTCCTGTGATTCTCCTCTGTCCCCCAAGCCTTCGAACCTTAGACACGCTGTTCATTTGCCCTGCCCAGGTGTGTCAGCTTTTTATTGGTTAAACACAAATAAGTTTTTAGGCAAGGTTACAAACATCATTTTGGGGTACGAGAGTGTCTGCTCATAAAAGACAGCAAGCGGACATTGGGGACAAATTAACAATCAAATACAAAGCGCCAGTTCATGTGGTTACACTTGGCCAATTCTGGCCCCAAGACTGGCCACTTGTGTGCCAGGAGCTGGCCCTCACCATCGCCAACCCATCCTCTCCGTCCCATTGTGACACTGTCGCCCCAGCTACCAACGGAACCCTCAGCGTTCTGCTTCCAAGGCTATGGTTGGGTCTGGGCAACAGTCAGGTGGGTCCTGGCTTCGGCTTGTGGCCCTGTCTCCAGGTAGGAGGGACCGGGGGTGTGAGTGGAAGGTGGTGTATGATGGCACCTGGTGACTGTGGGGCTGCACGCTCAGCACAAGTGTGGACAGGAACATCCCTGAGCCAGTTCCGC